CTGGGCTCAAATGGTATGGGATTTGGTTTCGGGCTACCAGGACGATGGCTGTCGGTGCGATTGCTGTCGGTGCGAGTACGAGGATGGTGCGCTACCGGTGTCTCTTCCTGGTTTTGCTTTTTCGAACGTGGCGGAGTTTGTGCCGTCTCTGATTGCTGCCTCTTACGTCCATCGTCATTTGGTTGCGGTAAGTCTGTGTTCGACTCGTCTACAACGGTTGTTCCCCCTAAATTCCCCGTGCTAACAGTTGTGGTGTAATTTCCTTTTTGGTTATTGAGAGTTTCCCTTGGCTGCCTCCTCAACTCCAGAGCCAGTTCCTTATCCATGTCGCCAAGGCTGTCAGCTCTGGTTCTTGTTGATCTGGATCTCTCTCCATAGGATTTCATTGCTTTGATGTCAGAATGAGAGCCATCCACAATTTCATGGGATCTAAGGAGTAAGTCTTGCCATGTTTCTTTGCCTAGAGGAATCGATGGGATCCTCTTGTACTTCTTGGATCTGGAAAGGAACACAAGATTTCTCTTCTTCTTTGTTGACAGAAATCCTTCACCAATGGTGTACTGCTTCCTTGTGTATTCCTTGTGGATATAGAGATCTGTATCTTGGTTGCTTTGTTTGAGTTTATCCATAGCAGTGGTCAATGACTCGATACTAACTTCTTGTGGCTCGACATCATATCTCTTACAGATGATTGCTTTGATGGCATCGATGGTCAACCAACAGTCCTTGAAGGGAGAGACCTTGTCTTTCTTGTCGGCATCAAGGATATCAACCACACATTCTGCCAGCTTTTTCCTGCTGACCTCCATGACAAACCTTGGAGTTGATTGACTCTTTTCAAGGGGAGTGTCTGTGAGTGTGTTGGGGAGCTACTCCTAGCAAAGAGTCAATCAGATCAATGTATTGGTTAAGCTAGAGACCATTTGGCCAACAATGTTGCCATGGTGGTAATTCTTTCTTTTTCTTTGTTATTCTGCTGTGGAGGGAACCAGCATGCGACCAGTCATTTTCGCGAAATGACCATTTCCGGGTTCCCATTTTCGAAACTGTAAAATAACCGTAAAATCGAGTCTTGGAAATGTCAAATGAATCTTATGCGCGGCGCCAGTCTGTATCCCCTCTGAGCTTGGACTCATGACAGCCCTGGCAATTCTGGTGCTCCACAGTAATCGGTTCACAGGGCAGATTCCTTCGGAGCTGGGAAGCTTGAGTGGTTTGGAGTGGCTGGTACTGAATCATAATCAGTTCTCAGGCCAAATCCCAACAGAAGTAGGGTTGATGAGCTCACTGTTTTGGTTACACATGGCTGTGAATGATTTGACGGGCCAAATTGCCACAGAGCTAGCTCTCCTGAGTTCTCTAGATGGCATTTGGGTGTTCCAAAATCAGCTGACGGGACATTTTTCTACTGATTTTGGAATGCTGGGTAATCTCACCCAATTTAATGCAGGCACAAATTTCTTGACAGGTCAAGTTGTTTCTGAGGTTGGGTTGCTGCCGTTGAAAACTCTGGCATTGCAAGACAATGACATCACTGGAGAAATTCCTGCAGAAATTTGGTCCGTGACTACATTAGAGAGTCTCTATCTGTTTGAGAATTCCATCACAGACTCCCTGCCTAGTGAGATTGGTCTTTTGACCTCCTTGCTTGAGCTGGACCTTTCTGCAAATCGCTTTACTGGGACAATCCCCAATGAAGTTGGTTCCATGTCTTCCTTGCAGAAGCTGTATCTTTACAACAATAGCTTGACAGGAACCCTCCCCCAGCAACTGAATGAATTGATGGGGTTGAGACTTGAAGGGAATTGGTTTTCAGGAACTGTCCCAGAGCACCTTTGTTCTGCACTGTGGTGTGACTGCACAGTAAATGAGACCCTGGTGTCCACCTGTGCTGACCTAGACGAGCGCGCAACTTTTCCAGGAAGGTTCCCGCCACAAAGAACTGAGGAAGATGGCAAACAAATTGTTCTCAACATAGAATCTGATGGAAACCCAGAGCAGATAAGCTGGTTGTGGCAAAAGGAAACCAATACATCTGAAGTTTGGGAAACACTGGAAGAATCGGCTGGTTCAATCGAAGCAATTCTTTTTCTCTACTCTTTTGTCTTCACTGTTGTACCCAACACAACCTATAAGCTCACAGTTTTGGAAAGTTGGGGAAATGGCTTTATACCCTCTGGATGGATCACTCTGACAGCAGCGAATCAAACAATGCTGTATGCATTTACTGAAGTATTCACACCTTTCACAGAAATCATCTTGCTTGTTTTTGTTGGGGCTGATGGCTTGGTCGAGCAGATCACCTCAGCTGTTGAATGTGATCCTGTGAGTTGTTTTTGCTGAATTCAATAGTTTTTGCGTTTTCTGAAGAATCAGCTAGCTATTGGTGAGTACATATACATGTAGTTTTGACATTTGGGTGGCAAAATGACACTGTCATGAAGCATTTAGGAGTAGCGCTGGAAACCCAGTCAAGTCGCAGGCAGACGAACGGTGTACTGCTACTCTTGCAAGCAGCTAGTCAACGGGGCCCGGCCTTCTGGTGTTCCTTCGTCAGCTCCGACTGGAGTTCTTGATTTCATGCTTGATGATCTGCCTGATCACACACTGGAGAGTTTGCAAACTTTTGGGACACCGCAGTGGCGAGCATGGGACTGGCTGTTAGATCACCAAAACATCACCCAGTTGCTGGATTGGAGGAAGATGCAGCTCTTTGCTCTGGTCACTTTCTACTACTCCTTTGAGGGAGAAAATTGGTTCGAACTGATAAGGGAATTGTGGATGGATGACATGGTGGATGAGTGTCTGTGGTTCTCCAGTGGGTTTTCCTTCTTTAATAATGGTGTTTACGCCGAATACCCTGCTGGTGTTGCTTCTCTTCCATGTAAGAACCACCATGGAGAATACACAAGTCTTTGGGTTGAAGATCTTGACCTTCCTGGCCTGACACCTGTGATACCGCCTGAAATCATACTGTTAACTTCCCTTGCTCGGGTTGGGGTGAGCTGGAACAAGATTTCTACTTCAATTGAAGTGTTGCTCCCTAGTGAACTCTACAGAATGACTCACTTGGAATGGCTGCACATAGAAGGCAATGAATTGTCTGGTAGAGTTCCTTCGGAGCTTGGACTTTTGACTGCATTGGAATATCTGCATTTCGGCAACAGTGACCACCTGTCAGGCCAGATCCCCTCAGAGCTCGGGCTGTTGACTTCCCTGACAAACATGGGGCTTCATTACAACCAGTTTACAGGACCAGTCGCAACCGAGCTGGGACAGCTGACTGCTTTGAATCGGATCACATTTGAGGGGAACCAACTCTCAGGCCAACTTCCAACAGAGCTTGGGCTGCTAACTTCTCTGACTTGGTTATTCTTGGCCCACAACGAAATCACAGGCCAAATTGCAACAGAGCTAGCACTCATGGGTACATTGGATATCATTTGGTTGGAGAACAATCAGTTGACAGGGCAACTTTCCTCGGAATTTGGAATGATGGCTGGTCTAACTGTCTTTGATGCGAGCTACAATCCCTTAACAGGTCCCATTCCTTCGGAGCTTGGGCTGTTGTCCTTAACAGAAGTTTGGTTGCGAGCAACCAACCTATCTGGCCAACTTCCGTCAGAGATTTGGTCAATATCCAGCTTGGAGAGGCTCACTCTGGCTTCAAATTCCTTTACAGGCTATTTGTCCAGTGAGATTGGTCTGTTGTCCTCATTGGTTGAGCTGGACCTTTCTGGAAATCGCTTTACCGGGACAATCCCCAATGAAGTTGGTTCCATGACTTCACTGAGAAAGCTCTATCTTTACAACAACAGCTTTACAGGAATGCTTCCCCTGCAACTAAATGAATCAATGGGGCTGAGACTGGATGGAAATCAGTTGTCGGGAACTGTCCCAGATCACCTCTGTTCTGCCCTGTGGTGTGACTGTGCAGCAAATGTGACCCTGTTGTCTACATGTTCCGACCTGAATGAGCCTCCTATTTTCCCAGGAAGGTTCCCACCAAGTTTTGCCAAGTCGCCTGATCAAACCATTGTACTCAACATTGAATCTGATTTTCACCCAACTGAAACAAACTGGATCTGGCAGAAGGAAATGAATGTGACTGGTGGGTGGGAAACATTGCAAGAGTCCGCTGGAGCAATTCAGACTCCATTCTTCTTATACTCTTTTGTCCTCGATGTTGTCCCCAACACAACCTATAGACTAGTGGTTTCAGACAGCTACGGAGATGGCCTGTCCCCTTCTGGGTGGATCACACTGACAGCATCCAATCGAACTGAGTTGTATTCTTTTAACCAAGCTGGAACTTCCTTTACTGAAGTCTCAGTTTTCATTTTGGCTGGAGCTGATGGTTCAGTTGAGGAAATCATGGCTAACGTGTACTGTGACCCAGCGTACAATGTATGTTGAGTTTGGCACAGCTCCCCTACATGTTGCTCGAAATGTTCAAAATGACCATCCATGAACTTGTATCTTTTAAAAACACTTACTTCCACGCATCCGTGCAGTATCAGCAAGCATTTGGATCGTTCAACCAGGGGAAGATGGGGGTCGCTTTTGCTTTCTTGGGTTTGGCAGATAGTCTCTATGCGAATGGCACAGAAACCTCATTAATCCCAATATCTTGTGAGGTATACATGTACTGAGGCCTCGCCTCCAAGCTTTTGATGCACTCCCAAGCTTGAGGGGAGCTAGGGCTCGTGCTTCTGGGGCCAGCTAGCATTTCAAGAGAAAGCAGTAGGAAAAGGATGCTGAAGAAGAGCTCTGATGGGCCTTTGCTGGGGGTATCCTTCGGAGTCTGCTGGATTTCATCAGGTGCCAGTTGTTCGAAGTCTTGCATCATGTCATTGCCTAATCAAGTACGGGGGCTGGTGTGGGGAAGATATCTACGGAGGTCGGCGTGTGGTTGCGATGCAGGACATCTGGCTAGCTGGCGGTCTTCCTGGGAACCACTCCACTCATCTATTACAGCAGTAATATGGGAAACCAAGATGGCTCCCTGTGAATGTTTGCGATGCTGATCACTTTAATTAAAATATACGCCGTATCGTCCTTTCCTTGCCGGACATTGTCTCGGTAGTCCGAATGGCTTTGTTGCCTGTGGAAAAACCACCACATGGGGGTTGCGAGGACCCGCTGCACCATGCCTGGGCCTTGCGAACCCGGCGGGGCATGCCAGGTGCCTGCCAGACGACACGACCGCGGGCTTTGGCATTGCCTTTGAAAATTCTTTTGGGGCGTCCTCCTCGGGTTCACTTGGCACCGCCCCAAGAGAATTCCAAATCACAACAATCGTCGTTGTCATCATCGTCGAATTCTTACTTGGGTGGCTTGGCCTTTGCCTTGGCAGCAAGCCCCCGAACAAGCGCATCCCGATACGAAGGCGGTCCGGCAACAGCAGAAGCACAGCAGATAGTTGCCCCTTCGCTCAGAACATCCCATCCCAACGACCCAGCCTCCTCATCTTGACTGTCACAATCTTTGCAATGAACGAATGAAAATGAAAACTCTGAAGGCTCATCTTCAGGGGTGGGATCCACCAGCACAAACTCGTTGGGGTATTGCCTTGATGCATCTCTGATCTCCTCTTGGTGCTGGATTCTTTCCGTTGCTGTCTCTGACCATTCTTTCTCTGCTTGGTCTGCTGTTGCTGGCGATTCTTCTTCCTCCGCTTCGTCATCTCTTTCCCACTCCGGCCATTCACGGGACATCATGGGCCACGCCAAAGACTTAGTGAATACCACGGATTCCTTACTGAATTCCATTCGCAATCCGAAATCCATTTCGTGCATGGCATCTGCCACTCCCAACTCATAGTCATATTTGTAGAAGTGGTCATCTTTTCGGACGGTTTTCAGAGACTTCAGGTGCTTGGCCCGTGTCTTGGAGTAATGCCGCCTGGCCCGAAACTCTTTCTCGAGGGAGCAAAACTTGCACTCGTCAGGAGCGTTGTGGCTTCGGGGGCTTTTGAATTGGGTGTTTCTCTTGTGGGTGTTTGCGTTGATAGTACAGGGGTACATTTGAAGGATTGAGTGTTGTGATAGGGGATTGTGAGAACCGCTAATACCGTGTGGCCAGGAGCTGGGAGCGGTTCGTCCTTGATGCACCTCCACCGCACGTCTGAAGACGACATAAGTCTTTTCTTTTCCTTCAGACGTGGATGACTGAGTCGAGTGACGAGTCGAGTCACTTCAATGGATACCGGTACGGACCACGACACGGAGACGGCGGCAAACCCAAAGCAATCACCAAAACGCAATTTGTTCAAATTTGCTTGCTCGAAGAGTGAGCACTTGACGCGAATCGAATCGAATCCATTCGATCCATAGTTGACCCCTTGGTTTCTCCTGGGGATTGCTCCTAGTATTATATAAATACACCAATTATCCATACGGTAGTTGCTAAACTCGTTGATTCCTCCTTGTGATTCCCATCAAGAAACACACAGGTGCCATAGTTTACTCCGTGTTAGTTTCCTCGTCCTCTTGATTGCCAAGCCACGAAACTGCGACGATGTACGTCAAGAGCGCTCAACCCCACGAGACTCGACGATTGACGTACTCTCATGGTGTTTTGGGTATCCAATCGTTCCACGGGTACTGCATACACTGCATACACATCCTACGAGCCACTCAACGCAATGGTTCGATACCAAAACATTCTGTTCCGACGGGACCGGCATCGTGGGCAGCCGAATCCATCGGAGTGGACTCTCGAGATCCAACCACAAAAAGCGCACCGATCCAATCTTGCCGTTGCCATAAGATTGTTCACTCGACCGACAGCATCGTCCTCGCAACGCTTCAAGCATGCTTTGCCAAGCGCCGAAGGATTGAAGCAAGCATGGAGACCGATACCTCGACGAAGTCAGCTGGGGACGAAGTGAATGATAATCAGCTCGAGGGCACGGAATCCAAGGCGGAACCCAAGACTGTAGAGTTGAAAGTTGGAGGAACCATGTTTACAGTGTCCAAGGCCCTCATTGAGCAGTATCCAGACACAATGTTGGCCCGGATGATCTCTGAGACATGGAACAAGAAAGACTCGAATGATCAAGCACTTTTCATTGAACGCGATGGAGAGATCTTCCGACATGTCCTTGCGTACATGCGAGACCTCAAGGTGAAGCTCCTGACAAAGATGGCCAAGAGAGCTGTACTCAAGGAACTGGAGTACTTTGGTTTTCAAAACGTCGACGAGGATGCCGTCGAAAGCGGTGTTTCACGCGGGGAAGCGGCCGCAATGATTGTTGCGACCGGAAATAACCACACCAAGCGGGTGCGCGAACTGAAGCTTATGCAATTCTGCGAGATATTGGCATTCGAGTTCTTCAATCGGTATTGTGGTGATGGTGATCTCCAAATGCAGACGCACATGGAGGACATGCTCGAATTGGGAGCGCCAGAAATCAGCCTTCATAATTGGGACGAGTCCATCTTTTGCAAGTGCCTTGCTGAGTACGGTTCCAAGGCTCATCCTAATACATGCTTTGATAGTGATGGTTTCATGAGCGTCGAGTTGGAGCGATTGTACTAGCTTTCTCGTAACAACTCACCAGCGAAATTGCATTACCAGTATGAGCACACTGATATGAGTTCTAGTTGAAAAGACAATACTATAGACCCACTGCTACACCGGAACTGACTTCTATTACTACTGCCACGCTTTGTTGTCGTCATCATCATCATCATACAACATTTTGCTCATGTACGGTCCATCGAGTTGATATCCAAACTTGCGATAATAGTGTCGCGTTCCCACCCCCGAAATGACGAGAATCTTTTCCGACCCGTGTTCGTCCCGTGCAATTCGTTCGGCTTCTTCCATGAGCAATACTCCAAATCCCTGATGTTGAAATCGAGTCGGATCTCGTGCATTCACCGCCACGGCCGTCCCATACACATGCAGTTCTCGTATCATACTACTGGGTACGTTTGTAATTTCCTTCAACCACGCCGCCGTATGTGAGAGTTTGCGCAATCGGAGCAATCCAATGAGAATATCTTGTGCCGGATCTTCATAACTCAAAAAGGTTTCCCATCCTCCGTTGGCGACATAATCGCGTCGCATCAATTCGACCTGATCGGGTGTCACTTGGGAATGAATCTGTTTCATGCCCACTTCGCGCGTCCGGACATCCATACAATGGAGTCCCAATTCGCGCAGTTTGGCCAATGCCAATTCTCGTAAATTGCCATGTTCGACGCCACTTGACACCAATGGCATGGGAATATCGCGTTGAATTCTGTAGAGACGCGTCCACGGCGGCACTAACGCCAATACTTTGGCCGTCAATTCAATCAATTGATCGGGGGTATAATTATGATACGCACCCGTTTTCCACAATTCGTACAATCCCGTGCCTCGAATGACCAATGTCGGATAGAGTTTCATGCCGTCACTGCGAAACAATGGATTTTCAAAATATTCTTGAAAGCCTTCCAAATCGCGTTCGTATCCCATATTGGGTAAATCGGGCATCATATGACTGACAACTTTGAATCCACAATCTTTGGCCAATTGAAAAGAATGACAGACACTTTTCACCGTATGGCCTCGATTGGTTTCCTTGGCGACGGATTCGTAAATGGACTGGACGCCAATTTCAATGCGGGTGCATCCATACAATAACATTTCTTCCAAATGCGGTTTGAGACAATAATCGGGCCGGGTTTCAATGGTAATGCCAATGCATTTGGTAGTGGATTGTTCACTGTACCGAATCGATTCTTGTACCGAAGTCGAATGATATCCGCTGAGTGCATCGTGTAAATTGCGAATAAAGTAATCCTTATATTCCTGATCCAAACTCAAAAAGGTTCCTCCCATGACGATGAATTCCACCTTGTCGACGGTATGTCCAATGGCTCGCAACTGTGTGACGCGACCCTTGACTTGCGAGAACGGATCGTACCGCGCACGAATGGCCCGCATCGATGTCGGTTCGTACCCCGTATACGCTTGTGTGGAATATTCAAAATCCGAATCGGGTCCACCGGGACAATAGACACAGACTTGGCCATTGGTATATGCCAAATGCGGACAGCGATGCGGTTTGGACATGACGGCCACAATGGCGACGCCACTGGCCGTTCGGACGGGTTTGGTTTTTAAATACGGCCATAATGGAGCGCGGTATGCTACCGGCAGACCTTGCAGAATGTCGGCCATTTTGGGTATTCCTTGGAGTTGGAATTTTTTGGACGCGTCGCCTTTGCATTTGGTGAGATTCAGAGTCGCGCCCGATTCGTACGAGTCAATCAGTTCCTTGACAATGTACGAAATTGCCAAGGCGTAATTCGTCTTTTGTTGCGACGACGACGATGATGACAGCATCGTAGATGCCATGGTGGAAGCAAAACAAAAGTAAAGTAAAGAAAGAGATGAGTGGTGGGGTTGGATGATGATGTTTCTTTTGATGCTTTGGACTTGGAAATGAAAAATGGGGCTGAAGTTGGAAGATGGGAGATGGGTGGTGTGGTCGAAGATTTTGCCGAAAGCTCTAACCTTACCGTAGATCCTTCAACAGATCAAAGAGTGGCATCGAAATTCGGCGGCGGCGCAAAGATCCACAAACGCCAAAGAGGAAAAGGAACAGAAAACAGCCACCAACCAAAACTAGACTGACTAATCAATAGAAGTCCACCACTATGATGATGATGATGCGTTGTTGCTGTTGGCATTATTTTGCTCTCTTCACCACCCTCTTATTATTGGGCACTACTACTACGAGTAGAGCCGACGAAGCAGCGCCCAAAGTCACGCGCGTGGAATTTGAAGTCAACTTGGCACCCGGCAAAGAAGACACCTTTGTCGTCGAGGTACATCCCGAATGGGCACCCTTGGGAGCCGCACGATTCCTAGAACTCGTCGATGAAGGAGACAAATTCTGGAAGGGAATTCGATTCTTTCGAGTTATTGGTAAGTACGTAGGTGCACATTGGTTGTGTGTGACGGACACAATTGCAGGTGTCTGCCTCCTGGTTTTGTGTCTCTGCATTCTCAATTAATTGGTTTCTTGTTTTGTTGTGTTTTATTAGAGGGATTCATGGCACAATTTGGCATTCCAGGGAAACCGGCCGTGGCCGATCATTGGAGAGACAAAACCATCAAAGACGATGAAGTCATCCAGTCCAATAAGAGAGGGTACATGTCCTTTGCCACGTCGGGACAGGATTCCAGGACGACTCAAATGTTTATCAATCTAGTCGATAATACCAATTTGGATGATATGGGATTTTCACCCTTTGCCATTGTGGTGGGAGACGATATGAGTATTGTCGATCAAATATACAGTGGTTATGGAGAAGGTACGAGACTTCTTTGCAGGAAGCAATCATACGTACCACATCAAGGGAGCTTTCATGTCCTAACTAATCCCCGTGATTTTTTCAATTTCTGTTTCTTTTTCTTTCTATTCCTTCACTTTTGATTCGAAAAGGTGCTCCTGGTGGTAAGCAATAACAGAATGATTCACTCCATCCATCAATCAACACGATCCAACGAGATGCACCATGAACTAACACTCATTCCTTGCTCTTGTTATCTGTACCAGGTGATGGACCCGCCCAAGGTAGAGTCCAAGCAGACGGCAACAAATATCTCAAGAAGGAGTTTCCAAATTTGAGTTACGTCAAATCGGTGCGACGGGTCGAGGATATTACGTCCGAGGGAGAACTATGATAGCGTGATAGGTTTTTCCGAATCATAGTTTTTAGTTGTGACATACTAGTACTAGTCCATACTTTCAGGCTTGTAGTACCATACCATTGTGATCTCTTTGTGTCATTTGCCGCCGGTGGTACCAGGTTCCTGGGTTCTGCGAAAGCAACTATAATAAGGTGCAAAGAATGTTTTGTTCAAAGATTGAATCAATCGAATCATTAAACTGGAACGTTTGAGCAGCTTTGCCAGCTCATATCTCGGAAGTCACAACGGCAAACACGAAAGCCATTGGAAGCAACAAACGGGGGGTCTCACTTAGTTGCTGCTTTATCAACCGACGAGGACTGGCAACATCCGCAACAACAACACTACCCGGCACCGTGCAACAACAACAGCAACAACAAACATGGCTCCTCAACCAGCACCTTCCGAGTCTCCTGGCGCATTGCCGCTGACGACCAACATGACAGCGACATCTCTTTCTAGTGGTGGCAACAGCTGTTTGGACGAGCAAATTGAAAGACTCAAGCGCTGCGAGTACTTGAGAGAGGGCGAAGTCAAGGCACTTTGTCTCCGAGCAAGAGAGATCTTGGTTGACGAGAGCAATGTTCAGAGAGTAGATGCTCCTGTCACTGTAAGTATTGCCATCCATGATGAAAGCATTCTGCACCAGGAAATCGCTCTGTGGCAGTCATTCATGACCTGCCCTTAAGTCTCTGGGTGCCACTATGTGGCCGATGTTTCTCACCCTCATTTTTCTTGCCAAAAAATAGATATGTGGTGACATTCATGGCCAGTTCTATGATTTGGTAGAGCTGTTCAAGGTTGGTGGAGAATGCCCTGATAAGAACTATCTGTTTCTGGGTGATTTTGTCGACAGAGGATATTATTCGGTGGAAACATTCCTCTTGCTTTTGGCGTTAAAAGTGAGATACCCCGACCGAATCACCTTGATCAGGGGGAATCATGAAAGCCGACAAATCACACAGGTCTACGGTTTCTATGATGAGTGCCTAAGAAAGTACGGATCGGTCAACGTATGGAGATACTGCACTGAAATCTTTGACTACCTGAGTCTCAGCGCCATTATCGAGGATAAGATCTTTACCGTTCATGGAGGGCTGAGCCCCAGCATCAATACACTGGATCAGATTCGAGTCATTGACCGCAAACAGGAAGTTCCCCATGATGGAGCCATGTGTGATCTCATGTGGAGTGATCCAGAAGAAATTGACGGGTGGGGGCTTTCTCCAAGGGGAGCTGGATATTTGTTTGGCGGTGATATTGTATCCATGTTCAACGAACGTAACGATCTTGATTTGATTGCCCGGGCCCATCAATTGGTCATGGAAGGACATCGTAGTATGTTCAATGATGCCCTGGTGACGGTGTGGAGTGCCCCCAACTATTGTTACCGTTGCGGCAACGTGGCAGCCATTCTCGAACTGGATGAAAATTTGGAAAGAAGTTTCAAGATCTTTGACGCGGCACCACAGGAGGCACGAGGGGTGCCCATAAAGAACCCTCCTCCGGACTACTTCTTGTAACACCGTACCACATCAGTGAATTAAAAATGGCTGTGAAGTAGTAATCGTACAAAATCATTAGCTAGTAGTGTCTTTGTTATCGTCATTGCAAGTACATGTACTTGGCAGCGTGTCGGCGGCTGCTCTACGTGAAATGCCACAGCTCGCAGCCGATGCCCCGGTCTTGCCATGCTGGCATCAAAAACTGTGGCAGGTACGGTACGCAGAGAGTGTTTGCTTCATTAACACATATAGTCGATGGGGGTAAGCATACTCAGTAGATCGCAAGTTTGGTCTGGCTCCCTTCTGCTGTGGTCGCCGCCTTTGCTGCACACACAGGGTTTCATTGTCTTGTGGAAAATACTAGAGGCTGCTAAGGCTGCTGTGGCTCCAGGAACTAATCGGGACCGGTAGATGAAGAAATGTGCCATTCTGAAAGTATCACCTTCAATGCCGAGGAGACCAAGAGCGTGTTCGAGAATTTAAGCTCCAGTAGACTTGCCTAAGCGTGTGAGACAGAATCCAGCGAAGCCAAGCCTGAAATCCCCTCCAGCCGGCAAAGCAACGGATCACGTCAAAGCTTGGGCTTGAGGTGATGGAGAGCGATGTTGAGGTTTCTGTGTCATTCACGTGGAGACTGTCGTCTGCCGAACCCAAGAAGGCAAAAGCAACGCCCACCTTCCACATCTTCGAAAGGTCGAATGATCCCGTTGGGGTCATTTCTATTTTGACCGGGACCGGGATCAAAGGATCGGGTAGCGTTGCTTTCGATGCTTGCGACGCTCGAGACATCCGTCCAACGACCAAGCAACGTCATCGCCTCACAGGACATCAACGAATTTACGTAAACGTTGTTTGGTTATTACTATAAATTTCAGATGGATTGCTGCACCAAATTCCGGATATCATACCATAGCCCATTTTGGATAGTGTGTAGGGAGCACAGAATACGGAGCCGTTCAGGCTGACGCCAAACATACATGTAGTTTCATTTTGCTGGATACGGTCGCTTTCAAAGCAAACGCAAGTTCCTATTTCCCAACAAGGAACAATGCCACAATCAATCCGTACAGACCCACTGACTCGAGAAAGATCATGACGAGAACAAATTTCTTGAAAAAAAGTGGACTCGCCTGTCCTCCTGTTTGTGGTGGTGGCAAAAGCGGTTCTCGTTCGGGGGCGGCATCGCTACTGACAGTGCGCGAGGAACCATCTCCTGGTTTGCTGTCGCCGACTCCTGCTTTGCCGTCATTGATCTGTTGAAGAAAGGACATCATCCCATATCCACTGGCCCAGCAGGCCAATCCCACGGCAAGTCCCGCCGACAAGTTGCGGTATCCTTCGACTTGACTCAACTCTTTCCCGCTATCTAGTTTGAAACAGAGAAGACAACCGATAATGATCCCATAGACGGACAAGACTCCGGCTTGAACGACGGGAACGAAATTCATCCAGCTGTTGCCGCGCAGGGCAAAGATTCCGGCATGAGAAGTGGCAATGGCAGAGCCAATCGCAGTCAAGAAGATGGCCGAGGCGGCACCCAAACCGGTCAGGAGAGCTGGATCCATTGTCATTGTTCTGGTAAAAGCTTGCAATTGGGTAAATTCTCGAGGCAGTGCTCTTTTATCCGCTCTTTTGTTTATGATGAGTGAAATCTTCGGCTTGGCATCTTTCCCTTCGACTTTTGAGAAGGCTTTTAGTCGTACCACTAGTAGTCGGATGAGTCAAAGATCCAATCGTGGTGTGAAAGATTCGTCTAGCTTGCTAGGTTACTCTTGAGTAACCAGCCCCACTGGTTTCAAAGGGGGTTAATGTACATGTAGAGGTTCCGTGCATGGCTTTGCTCCCAAATCTCGCAGGGAGAGTTGGGTTTTGTTCGAGTGGCAGTCCTCATCATTGCTTCTCCATACGAAGTATCAGGCTTACAGTTCACTGCACAACGCCGACACTTCACCCCCTTTGTTGTTTCTGCGGATGGCCTCTTTGCTGCCAAAGTTACTGATGTTCTCCAATGATGGCTACCGCTCCCAGCTCTTGGCTCACAAGTGGTCCAAGCCCTACTAGTACTCTGTGGTTCGCTCCTTTGTGTCCGCCCGCTTGAAGATTGCTCTTGTTCGTGACGCCACCATGTGTCTCCAAGGCTCTCGCGTTCCTGCCATGCGGTTCAACTGCATGCCAAGGCTCTGCGCGCCCTGGACCCCTACCGGCCCGTTAGTCGGTCCCTGCACTCTCGCTCCCTCATCTGGTTCTGTCTACTCCTTGCCTCCCCTGCCTGAATACATCCAGCCAAAACAAAACCACTGATAGTGGTGGGAGCGAATGCAATGGAGATGCGCTCAATTTGAATTACGTTGAGCAGAGAAGAGATGGTTCGAGGAGAGGTGGTTCGGTTGTACCGGTACAAGCAAACTCAATCGTCCCCAGAAAGCCACAAGGATCTTTATTAGGCAACTCTCGCACTCGATGACGACCTAGCCGATGACCGCCGCTAAACGAAGTTCTTGATGGCCTACGGAGCTACACAGCTGCCTACGGGTAGTTAATTATTGTAGTGTTTCTTTCCTTTCCTTTCTGTTTTTGATGAACCTTTAGAACCTTTCTGGGGAGTCTCATTTACCTCGGCAGTCTTGCTGCCAGAGCCCTCAACCCCTTTATTAATTGTTTTTCCTGCTACGGTGGTCCCTGCAGGTATAAGGGTAGGGTTAGAATACAAATAAGTCAGCAAAAACTAAATAAGTATCCTAGGATGGTGCTTTTAAACCAGCTAAAGCTATTTACATGCATCCTAGTAGGGGGATCTGCTTCTACCAGGAAAAACTCTAAAGCTAGCAAAAGCTATATAACTAGTATTCTAGCTAGCTTGGGGTATCTGCTTCTAGCTTGTTATGGGAATCTGCTTCTAGCTAGGGGATCTGCTTCTAGCTAGCTAAGCGCAAGTTAAGCACTAGCTAGCTAAGCACTACAGGTATCTGCTTCTAGCTAGCTAGCTAATAGGGGTATCTGCTTCTACACTGAAACCTTTCTGCCGAGGTTACACAGCTCCGCTGGCTTATTTACTTAGTAATTTTCGGCTGAATGTCACAGAGTCACAGATCAGAAATAATTTATTTGTCCTCGGAGGAGTACATGATGTTGCGTTTGCAATAAGATGGCGGTATTGGTTTTGGATCCAAGCGGGGTCAATAATGACCAAAGACTTTGATCAAGCAGTGCTTGATAGTCCTACCAAAAGACCTGAGCTGATTGCAGCACAGTATCAAGCCGACGAGAAAGCATCCCCTCAGAAATCCTCTTCTGCCCTTGCTACCCAACCTCGCCATCATGATAACTAGAACTCAGAACAACCCAGAGATGCCATTCAACAGCAAGTTATTGTGGTGAAAACTGTTCCGCACAGAGCCAGTGCGGCAGCCGGTGATATGATTATAGGAAACATGAAACACACACAAGGTGACGAGCACAATGCTTTGCAAATGGCAACCGAAATTATTGAGGCAGACAAGTTGGAAAAGTTTAGCAACGGCAGGTCTGCTGACAGTAGCCACACTCCCTTGCAAATGGCAGCAGAAACCAGTGAGACAGCTGTGCTGGAAAACATCATCAGCAGCACAAGGCTAGTCTCCAGAACCTCCCAATAAGTGAGTTCACAGCTTCCTCGTCCAGGGGCCTACATGGGAACACCAGCAGCAGCATTGCAGCGCACCAGTAAGTGTCTATCTAAGGTTGGATCTCTTCCATGTATTGGAGAGTATACAAGTCTTTGGGTGGAAGATCTCAATCTTTCTGGTCTGGCAACTGTGGTTCCATCATCAGAGATCATACTGTTGACTTAATTGTTTGTCTCGGATTGGGCTGGGATTCAACAAGATTACTACATCAATTGATGCATTCCTACCAAGTACAATCTACAAAATGACTTCCTTGGAATGGCTCGAATCATCTTGGTAGGCAATCAAGTCACTGGAAGAATTCCTATGGAGCTTGGAAGTGACTGCTGACTGCATTGGAGTTGCTAAGGTTGGACCAAAATCAATACCTATCAAATCCCCTCAGAGCTTGGACTCTTGACAGCCCTGACAGCTCTATTGCTGGAACACAATCAGCTGACAGGCCAAGTCCCGTCCGAGCTAGCACAGCTGACCAATTTGAATCAGATGACACTGAATTTTAACCAACTCACAGGCCAACTTCCCACTCTCTTAACAGGTCCCATTCCTTCAGAGCTTGGATTGCTGTCATTGACAGACTTTTGGTTGGGAGAGAATGAAATGTCTAGCCAAATTCCTACAGAGATTTGGTCAATTACAACCTTGGAGAGGCTCTCTCTGGCTTCAAATTCCATCATAGGCACACTTCCAAGTAGGATTGGTCTGTTGTCCTCATTGGTTGAGCTGGACCTTTCTGGAAATCGCTTTACCGGGACAATCCCCAATGAAGTTGGTTCCATGACGTCACTGAGAAAGCTCTATCTTTACAACAACAGCTTTACAGGAATACTTCCCCAGCAACTGAATGAATCAATGGGGCTGAAACTGGATGGAAACCAGTTTTCAGGAACTGTCCCATCTGGAGCACCTCTGTTCTGCCCTGTGGTGTGACTGCACAGCAAATGTGACTTTGATTTCTACCTGTGCCGACCTAAACGAGCGTGCAACCTTCCCAGGAAGGTTCCCACCAAGTTTTGAGCACTGATGGAACTGGTGAGATGATTGTACTCAACATAAGATCCGATGCATTCCCAACGGACACAAACTGGGTCTGGCAGTCGGAAACGAATGGTTCTGGGGTACTTTGGGAAACTCTGCAAGAGTCCGCTGGAGCAATTCAGACTCCATTCTTCTTGTACTCTTTTGTCCTCACTGTTGTCCCCAACACAACCTACAACCTCACAGTATTTGACAGTCACGGAAATGGCTTTTTCTCCCATGGATGGATCACCCTGACAGCATCCAATCAAACAGAATTATATGCTTTTACAGATGCAGAGACTCACTTTACTGAAGTCTCAGTTGTCCTTTTGATTGGAATTGATGACTTCCTGGAGGAAATCACGACCAATGTGTACTGTGACCCTACTTATGATTTGTGTTGAGTTTGGCCTGGTTTCCCTACATGTTGCTTGGAATGTTACATATTGAACACACATTTTTTCTTACGCACTCCACTTACCTATCTATAAAAGTAGCAGGATTAAGTGCAACAGGTATTTGGATTATTCAACCTGTCAAAGACATGGAAAGTTGAATGTTGTTTTTGCCTTCTTGGGTTTGGCAGATATTTTCTCCATGTGCATGAGTGGCTGGCATTGGAAGCATCCCAGTATACCCATTGCCATTTTAAAAGTCTCAATCCTGAGCTTTTGATGACTCCTTTCTTCGATTTGAGGGTGGATCATGATTGGCTTGGCCCCACTATGCTTGATCTCTCTTGTCTCAGAAGAGCTGGGGATTCTACCTGGATAGCTTTGTACCTGCTGTGACAGCAGCATCCAGAACAGTGAAATGAACATTGGATGCAGCGCCATCTAAAATCCTGTTTGGATGTCAACCCAGCCTTGCCGGATGTTTCGCTCTCTGTGATTACGGCCAATTAGCCGCCTAATTACCCAAACGTATTTAGACGAGAGGATGGAGGCAAAGATGGAACAAGACCCGCTGGCGTTTCCTTTGTGGTCACAAATTTCGCATTCCGCGTTTCACCATTGGATGTTGCGATACCCATGCTACCTTCACCCCTGATCCAATCAAAGACTACGCAAGCAACAACAGAACAATCGAGAGGCTGGTAGTTATTAGCTAGCTACTATAGTAAAGCGATTGAAAACCCAAGAGGATCCGGTTACAACAAGAGGATATCCGGGTACAACAAGAGGATACCCCTGTAGCTAGCTATAGTTAGGTGGTTGATCTGTAGAAGCAAGCCATTTACCATGATGACGATAAGACGACAACTGTTCCCAATACTACTGTCGCTATGGGTACTACTGCTGCCCTTGCATCTCTGCAATGCCCAAGGCACGATACTGGAAGTCATGGATACGGTGGAAGAGTTGACGACCTTTTCCTTGGCCATTGACGTTGCCGGTCTGACCGATTTGCTGAGCGACACGGGGCCGTATACCGTTTTGGCGCCCAACAATACGGCCATGGAGTCACAACTATCCCCCAAGTACTTGATGCCCGAATGGTCGGCTCACTTGACGGAGATTCTCTTGCAACACGTCGTGGAAGGACCTCCCTTTTTGACGCTCTTTTGGAGAGAAGGACTCACACTGACACCCGTGTCGGGAAGTTCCTTGACGATTACCAGTACCAATCCGACCTTTCAAATCATCAATAACGGCGGCGAAGCCAATGCGACGGTCATCACACCCAATCTGCAGGCCGATAATGGTGTCATTCATATTGTCGATCGAGTCATTATTCCACCGTCGGCGCGAGATTCCATTATGGATATCATTTCCTTCATTCCAGAGTTCTTTAGTACCCTCAACAATTTACTCGTATTGACTGGATTGGATGCAGTTTTGGATTCCGAAGGACCGTACACCATGTTTGCACCCAGCAATGATGCATTTGACAAGCTCAGTCCGGATCTATTGGCCAATCTGCAAGAAGATCCCGCTCAATTGAGACAAGTATTGGAATATCACATTGTTCCGGGCATCTACTTGGTCGATACACTCAATCAACCCAATGTCACCACATTGCCAACACTGAATGGGGCGCCCTTGCCCAAACCAGTAGAGAGCATTCAATTTGTCGATCTGCTGGCCACCAATGGTGTCATGCACATTGTGCAAGATGTACAACTACCTCCTGTCGAGAGTGGTATTACTACTGGGGCTCCTGCGATAATCGGTACGGCGGTACCCGAGACACCTGCGCCAAGTACGTCTGTTCCTGAAACTCCCGCCCCCACTGCGACACTGCAAACACCCGAACCTACAAACGTTCCCGAAACTCCCGTCCCCACACCGCAAACACCCGAACCCACGTCTGTTCCCGCAACTCCCGTCCCCACTGTCGTTGTGACAAATCCATTGCCGGAACCCGAAACAGCCGCCCCCGAAACACCGGCTCCTTCCACCAACAATGTCCGAGAGACACCGGCTCCAGCACCGACGAGTGGTGGTGGGACCATTGTCGATATTGCCATCGAGGCCAACTTTACCACCATGGTTTTTGCGCTCAATCAAACGGAATGGTACGCAACGCTCGACAACCCTGACGAAGGTCCCTACACAGTCTTTCTCGTCCCGGACGATGGATTCGATACCATGCCCGACAAATATCTACAAGATCCCGTTACTTGGAACAGCCATTTGACCAACGTACTGACCTATCACATTCTCAATGGACAAGTACTGGAATCCGCCTTGACCGTCAATGCCACCTTTTTCACGCTCAATGCAAATAATAACATTACCGTCACCAGCCAAGAGCCATTCCTCCAAGTCAACAATGTCAACATTACCGAAACGGACATTGTAGCCACCAATGGCATTGCCCATGTCGCACAAGAGATTTGGTTGCCGCCTTCGGCGGTGGATACGGCATTGGATGTCATTACTCAGTTTCCCGATGAGTTTTCCACCTTTTTGTCACTGTTGGAACAGGCCAACTTGACCAGTCTCTTTGCGGGTCCTGGACCACTCACGGCCTTTGTCCCGGTCAATGATGCGTGGGATAACTTGCCCGAAAATGTCACGCTCGAGAGTTTGACCGACAATCCCGGCCTTCTGGAACGACTCATTTTGTATCATGGGACGCCTCAATTGGCGGAAATTGGCTCTCTGAATATCTTGGATTCCTATGAAATTCCAACCTTTCTCGAGGGTGCCAATGTGACCCTTTCAAGAGTCCCCATGATCGGGCTACCCCTGTCTTCCCGCGTCAACGGGGCTGCTGTACCGTTCTTTGATTTGCTCGTGCAAAATGGATTGGTTCAAGTGATTGACGCGGTACTGATACCACCGCCACCGCCTGAAACCGAAGAACCCACCATGATGGATTCCACCATGATACCGACGGAATTGGCAACCACGGAATCACCAACCGCGGCAGCGACGGCACAGGCAACAGAAGTGCCCACAGTCATGGAAACTATTCCGATCACTGGATCTCCCACAGGCATGCCTTCGCTGGTGGTGGAGGCAACCTCGTCGCCCACAATCACGGTAACGGAAGTGTCGACAACCGACTCTCCCACTGCGGCTGTCACATCGTCTCCCACGGCAGAAGAAACGATTGCCATGACCACATTGATGCCCTCGACCGGTGGTGATAGTTCTCCTGGTGAAGGTGCCATGACTCTACCGCCCACAGTAGGCACAACCGATGCCGAGCTGTCCATTTTGGATGTAATTGAAGGCGACGAGGACTTTTCGATCCTCAATGATCTCATCATTCAGACGGATTTGGACACTGTTTTCGAAACCGAGGGACCAATGACGGTATTCGCACCCAACAATGAAGCATTTGCGTTGCTGCCCGACGATGTATTGCAAACCATCCAAACCGACGTGGATGCTCTGAGAGATGTGCTCCTCTATCACGTCGTTGATATGGATGAGGTTCTTTCGTCCGAACTTACCGAAGGCGCCGTGTATCCAACAGCTCAGGGCAACACTGTCATGATATCCACGGATGGTTCCATTATCATGGTCAACGACGCTACGGTGCTCATTCCCGATATCGTTGTGTCCAATGGTGTGATCCACGTGATTGACATGGTGCTCATCCCTCCATCCACCGAAACCCCCACCATCTCTCCTGTCGCCACCGAAGCCCCTACCATCTCTCCGGTCGCCACCGCTACCGATGAGCCTTCTGTATCTCCCATTGCCACTACAACCGATGCCCCTTCGGCTCCTCCTGCGCCCACCAATGTACCGTCGACGGCTACATCGTCACCTTCGGAACGCCCCGTGGCAGGGACACCTCCTCCCACCACCACCGATGTGGTCGTGACGACTCCACCCGTGGCAGGGACACCTCCACCGGTTGCCCCACCCTTTGGCGTACCGGCTACGCTGTCCCCTTCGAGCGCCGAGTGTGTGGCTATTCCCGGACAAGTGGTGTGTTGTCCACCGGGTCAAACAGAGGGCATTTACTTCTTTTGTCGGTATATATAGCTAGTCTTGGCTAGTACGTGTTTTGTTTGTCCGGGGCTGATGGATGTGCGCAAGAATGATCGTGCACTTTTCGCATATATTTTTGAATGTCACTGTGGTAATTGTAAAAGCACTATTTTCTTCTTTTTCTGCGGGTTCTGCAATGATCAGAAACTAGAGCTATCTAGCTAGTGGAAATTTGCCAACAAAGGCCTCAACATCTACAGTATTATTATCGAGTTCAGACGAGAGGTACTGGAGGACAAATAAATGGTGTCCTCGGCCATATCCATGTTCAGTGGATTGAGCCCAGCAAATTCTCCGTCAGATTGAATTGATTCGTTCGATTTGATTCTGCCGTCCAGCCAGTTGGTTCCTATTAGCTATAAAGATTGTAGTACAGTAGTATTGTTGTGTGTGTGGTGGACTGCCTTGCCTTGCCAAGCTTGATTGCTTCTGCTAAAAATCAAATGTGCAGCACTCGAAAGTTTCCATTCATTTCGTGCACCACTTCCACCTCTTCTTCTTCTTCTTGTTCGTCTTCTTGTTGTCGTTTATTCTTTTGTATTCTTTGTTTGTGACGTTCTTGTGCCCAACAGCATTTTTTGTATTTCTTGCCACTGCCACAGGGACACGTCGCATTTTTGCGAGTTGGTTTGCTTGATGGTGGTGTTGCCGCTGCTATTACACTGCCGTCATCGTCCGCCCTCTTTCCTTCCGGTTCCAGTGGAGGCGGTCGTTGTTCGTCCATTTCCTTTTTTTCTTCAGGTGGTTCTTTTTTATTGTTGGCTTTTTTGCCACTCTTTCGTTTTCGAGGGGCTGCTTCATTACTCAGCGAATGGGCCGGTGGTGCCAATGGTGCTATTTTGTGTCGTTTGGTGAGATCGTGTACGGAACTGTAATGATCATTGTCGTGGTAACTGAGCAATAAATCTTCTCCTTCATTGTCGCTAGTGTCAGTAAGTCCATGTGGAATATTCATGGAATGCTGTCCGGAAAAGACGGTAATATTGCGGCGATACAACCGGGCGGCCGCGACCAACTCCAAATTGCCACCCCATTCTCCGTCTTGTCGCATTTGTTCCACGTAACTTTCAAAATCTTCCGCGTCTTCTTCGTCTTTGCAATCGTCGTCGTCCAATACCAAAAACACACTAAAATCGTCTTTATGGTGTTCAATAAAATCGCACACGGCGTGACGGACATCTTGATAGTAACGTTTGCCCAAATCGTGAAATAACTGGTCGGACAGAGATCGAAATAGACAATTCCCATCGGCGTCAATTTCCAAAATGGAATATTGACCACTGGCTTGGAGAGATGCCCGGAATTCATCGTCCTCACTCGTCGTTGGTTCCTTCTGTTTGTTCTTATGGCGCTTATTGCGGGAAGGAGGATCCGACGGACCGGTACTGTCGGTACTATCGTCGTGGCTCTTTCTCTGCTTGCCGCCCTTTTTGCTACTCCCTTTGCCTTTGCGGCCCATGGCTCTCGTACTATAATCTTCTTCTTCTGTTCATCTACTATACTACCGAGCTGTGCTTTACTGGTGTGGTTGTCTGGATACCCAACCCAAGTCTCAGCTTTTGGGGAGGGATTCTCAACGTCTCGATGAGATGCACCACGAGGATTCGGATATCCTTTTGGGCGAGAAGCCATCCATCCATTAACTCTTTCATGAGAGATAACGTTAAGTCTAAGAAATGAAAGCATTAAAAAACCGCTTTTCCTGATCCTTCTAAGGATTTAAAACAACTTCAACAGATGTGGAAGGTGCCATTCTCCTTTAGGAGCACTGCACCAGCAGGGAATGGCACCAAATTCACGCGACTAGACTCGCTGCCAGCCTTCCACAACCCACCAAACCCCTCAATAATTGGGCATTGACAATAATATAAGGATGGAACCTTCTGCAGCCCAAATAACAGATGATGAGGAAGAAGAGCTGATGGATATTGTGGCTGCCAGAAGCCGGGGGGGCAATAGAGAGGCCGAGCTCAGAAAGCTGGAAATGTTGGAATCGGAAGCACAACAGAGAGAAGAAGACGAGCAATTGAAGCGAGCCCAAATGGGGAGGTCATTCCAGTCATCGCAGCATGATCCCAGCACAACAGGCAACAACCCCACGAGAGAGGAAATCAAAGCAGAAGAAAAGGAAGAAGATACCTTTATTCTGCAGGTCGTACAGGAGCAAATAAAGAATCATGGTCAAGATACCACCAGCAAAACGCTGTCAGCTGAAGCCGGCTGTCACAGCACAGCAGGCGACAACTCCACGGGATATAAAACCAGAGAAGAAGAAATTGGTCTAGTACAGGACGAGCTTGGTTTTCCGCAACCAAGGTTGGCTCGTGGTCAAAATCTGCCAGATGAAGCTACCATGCGTCCAGGAGCATACACGGCGGTCCCTGGAACTGATCTCCGAAGAACCACAACACTCAGTCGCTCATTGGTGGGAGCTACTTCTTCTTCTCATGTTGAAGAGCTTACATCAAATGTAAACACAAGGAATAAAAGTACAGCCACAACTCCCACAGGCAACAATAATGGATTGGCAGTGGCGAACCAGGTCGAAGAAAATGAAGAACCTACACAGATTGCGAGACCCGACAATTTGCATGAAAAAAATGGATCAACCTCAAGGACTCTTATGATCCTTGTTCTTGGTGTTAGCATTCTCATTATTGGAATTGTTGTTGGTTCCATCTGCGGGGCTGGTCTCTGCAGCAACCAAGAAGGTGATATGGAGATGGAGACTCAGGCCCCCACTTCCTTTCGGTATTTTGTTTTGGAGGACATTCAAAACAGAATTGAAGAGGCTTTTGGGCCTGACTATTTTCCCAAGAATGATGAGCCAGGACCCACCCAGCCAAAGTCCAAGGCTCTCGATTGGATTGTGTTTGAGGATCCTCTGCAGCTCAACCCAGATGCCAACAATCTTCTACAGAGGTTCATCTTGTCATTGACTTACTTCCAGACATCCCAAAAGAGTGACTGGCTAAATTGTGGGAAATCCTCTACAGCAATCGACGAAACATGTTCTATTCGCGATGACTGGGGTTGGGAAGTATGGGGAAGTTGCTGGCTCACAGCTGTTCACGAATGTCAATGGGCAGGAATTGATTGTGACACCGAGAAGAACATTACTGGGTTGTGGCTTTGTGAGTTCTTTTCTATTTTGCTGACCACAACAAGAACCAAACTGCATGATTCCTGTGCTTATCCTTAGCTTGCTTTTATTATCAGGGGACAACGGATTGAATGGCCCTCTGCCCACAGAGCTTGCAAATCTTCCAGCACTGGAATCAATAAACTTTATGTGGAACCGACTAACAGGCAGTATTCCTGTGGAATTGTTTGGAAACAAGCTCTCCTCATTACACTTTGCAAACAATTTACTAACAGGGACAGTGCCCACAGAAGTTGGACTCTTTGATGGGACCGTGCTTCAATTTGGTTCAAACAGCTTGTCTGGTTCCATTCCCACGGAGGTCTTTCAGATTGGGAAAGGATACCAGCTCGATCTTCGTCTTGATGACAATATGGTAAGACAACCTTTCCACGGGAACGGAACCTCGGTGATCTTCAACTTTTGGTCAAGACCCTAAACTATGATTGAACCAGCTCACCCTTTCCCTTTCCTTGCTTGTAGCTTACAGGTACTCTACCCACTGAATTTGGAGCATTGCATAGATTTAGTATCCTCAGAGTCTACCTGCAAGGGAACCCTTTACGCGGAACCATTCCATCGGAAATAGGACTTCTGAATGGCTCTCTCGATGAACTTGATATCAGTCGGACCAATATGGATGGTTCCATACCAGAGGAACTCTTCACCAGGTGTACCAACTTAATTACACTTGAGGTCTCCAACTGTGGCTTGACTGGAACAATCAGCACTGGCCTGCAGCTTTTGTCAAACCTATACATCTTTGACATTTCCAACAACAAGTTCCATGGCACCATCCCAGCACAGCTTTCTGCTCTGACAGAATTACGTCGGTTTATTGTGAATGGGAATGACCTTTCTGGTTCCATTCCATCATCGGTCTGTGCTTTGGCTGATCCCACAAAGGACTTTGAAGTGGCAGCTGACTGTTTGCCAATGGATGGCACGGGCAATCCCTTGGTGGAGTGCTCTTGTTGCACTCTGTGTTGTGATGGTGATGCTGCTGACTACTGCCACTCCCAGGTAGGGTTCCAGTGACAACCTTGGGATAAAATGGCTCAGAGTTTGTCTTGGAGAGTGCAGCATGCAATGAGAAGCAAGGGGACCGTGCTGGCTCCCAACCTGTTCGTCTTTTTAAGGACCACCAAAAGCACCAACTCTGGCACAGTGCCTTGCATTATGAATGATACTAGCTAGCTAGGAATAGAAGCAGAAAACGTACAGTGCAACCTCTGTGAGGTTCATTTTGCCTCGTATCAGAGAGATTGGAACTTTATGGTCACAGCTCCTGGCGCCATCGTAGAAGGTAGATTATCACGTACGTAGTGGAACAGGCATCAAAGCCTCCAAGCCTACAACGAGGTCTAAGGTACCAAGAAATGAAAGCCACCAACCCACCGGTGGAGCATGTCTTCATAAACTTCGCAGCTATAGGGGCAGCAAGGAGGCTGCTAGGTAGCTAGCTGGCTAGGAGAACAAGCAGAACCTATTGCTGGTGCCAGGCACATCGTGAGCCCAGAAAGTGTGCTAGCCAAAGAAATAGCCAACGTAGCCTGGACCAGGGATAGGAGGAGGTCTACAAAGCCGGCTTGCACTACTTCCGGTACGATATGTGGCAACAGAGTATAGTTCGGATCCGGTCAGCTTTCAGCTGACCGTCGGCTAGCTAGCTTGCTAGTAGCACAATATGATGACTTTCAAACGCAGGATTATGCACTAATCCATCCATTACTACTATGCAAAACATCTACAAGCAAGGGGTAGCAGCCGCTCCATCACAAACAGATGCTCCGATGCTTCCTACCCACGTAGCTGCGGTAGCTCGCCTAATCACTATTCTTGAGTCCACTGGCAGCAGGTCGCATCACGCCACCACAGGAGGAAGCCACCCTCGAGCCCACCAGACTGACCATTCCCACCGCCAACAAGATCACATGGATGGGATGCACATTGCCTCCAGCGAGCAGCAGGTGCCCGACGACTGCCACAAACGAGAGTGCCGCCAATCCTTCCTTGCTCAATAGCAATTTCTGGACCACCAGCCACAACTCGGCCGAAAAGTGGGGAATCTTGGCCAACATCCAGAGGAAATCCCCGCTCATGAATGCCAATCGGGCAAACTCCAGGTAGGTGCTCCATACTCGAATGTTGTCGCCGACGATAAAGTTGACACCGAGGGTGGTATCCAACGAGTAGACGGCATGCCACCAGCGGTAGGGAATGTAAACAATGTCGCCTGGTTCGACAATGCATTGGTATTCCGTGGCATGGACAAAGAGTGGGTACTTGTCCATGTCGGGTCGGAAAACGTCCATGTGACTGTAGTGGCCTCCCGCCAAGGCGACCTTGGTTTGCATGTAGAGGTAGGGTTCATCGACGGGAGAGTAGAACTTCCAGAGTTTTCGTCCCTGAATCTGAAAGTTCATGTTCCATTCGTACTGCAAGAACAGAGACCAAAAGACGGAAGTGTGAGCAGCAAGTACAAATGACACAAGTGATCCCACAGCAAAGCAAGGCAAACCAAGCTTCGTACCAGATCGGCATGCAACCCGGTGACGTTATTCTTGGGTCCGATCCACAAATGAGGCGTCTTGATACTGGCTTCCAAAGGATTGGCACCGGCATAGACTTGAGCAAAAGGCACGGCATCCTTGAGCGCCGGATGTTCTTCAAAGAAATCTCCATCTTCCTTGATGGCCCATTCGGCGTGTCCCTTGTCAAAGTGTTCGTCAAAAAACTGCTGAAAGGTCATGTTGGTTTCATTCAGAATGTTTTGCATGAAATAGCTCGAACTCGTCTTTTCTCGACGCCAACAGGAAACGGCGCTACTTTTAAAGCTGCCGTAGTTGTCACGGAGGTAGTCAAAGGACCACTGGGAGGCGGGCCACATGTGTTGGGTCCCCCGAAGGATGAACGGCTTTTTAAGGACATAGTTGCGTTTGATCAACTCTTCGTCCCATTCGTACAAGATATCAATCGGTTCTGCGTTAGGATTGAACAAGTTGGTGTCGGCACTGTCGTTGTTCTCGAGATCCTTGGGGGGTACCTGCTTCGGCTGCTTGTTGGGCAGGGGGGTGGTAGAAGAATCGGCCATGGGCATATTATTGGTGTTGCTTTGGCTACTCATGCTGGATGATTGGATTGTGACTGTATTGTGGATTTTGCTCGCTTGGAAATGAGGGAGGCAGTGCAGTGCTGGGTGGATCCGATCGGGTGGCTTTGGAGGGAAGACCGGTGGTTTGGAGGGAGGACCAGTAAAGTATAAGTTTACCAAAGAAGTTTGGATTTTGTGGGATCTTGCCAAAGAGTTTTGTGACCTTGTGTGTGTGAGGCCGTGTAGCATTTTTAGACCGCCAGCATGTCATGCGGCTTGCGACACATCATAGAGAAATGCATCACAAGATTTGACCGTTACGGATTGTGAGACGCAGCATTGGTAAAAAATGAGGGCCGGCAGCCGTTGTGGTTCGGATTGCATCTGAAGTTCACGTTTGTGCAGCTTGATCCTTGAACATTTCGGTGACATGGCGCTGCGCAAGGATTTAGCGTGTTTCCTGTTCTGTCGGTTCTCCTTTTCGTTTTCCTTTAAATCCAGTGGATCACGGCCAGTCCATGCGACGAATATGGTCACGTACACCGGCACCGGTACGAAGTTCAAGCAGTGGCCGCGGGAGTTGATCTCTCGCACCTTTGTCAAGAAAAACGCACCTCTCCAAGCTCACAATCATGTTGCTTTGCTCTCTTTGCCAGCATGACTTTAATGGCACAGATGATCCAGGTGATGGGATGGGGCTCTACCAAAAGAATGTCTTCGACCCAACGGACTATGAACGTACAGTAGGTGGGTGAAATGGGGGTTTTAGGGAGGTTGTGTAGGTTGATGATTTATTTGTACAGTTAGTTGGATAAGTGCAACAGCTCTCCCTCCTATTCCTATCGTCAAGAGAACATATCGTCCCTCTTGATTCTAGCACTGGTACCCATCATTTGATTTTTCAGCACAGTGTCAACACATATTATTATGTTTGGACTTACTACTGGCGGCAGCGCCAAAGCAAAATGGCTTGTGATCCCGTTTGCTCTTTTGGCTCATGCTTGGATGGAATCCATTCAATACAACTTTGGCAAGACCTTGCGCTGGACACCCGGGAACATTATCGAATGCACGTCACTGGGCCACGTTGTTGCGAACGTTGGCATTGCAAAGAACGAGGGGAAACGGGTCAAGGTGCTCGGAACGGGTTGGTCCTGGAGTACGACCATTGCCGGCGATGGGGATACCTACTTGAAATTGATGGGATCCTTCGCCGATGTGTCGGAAGCAGAGTTTGATTTGTCCGAACCGAGCGTGGTTGTCGGCGCCGGAGTCCGAGCCTTTGACTTGTACCTGGCATTGCAAGACACGGGATACAACATTTTGGCCAAAGGAAACTGCCTAGCCAGAAAGGAGTCGCAGACCATTGGAGGGCTCTTGGCCACGAACGTTCATCATGCAGGAACCGCAACCTTCTATGACGTTGTGGAATGGATCGATGTCGTAACGTCCTTGGATGGTGAAAATCCAATCCGTACGTTTCGAGATGAACCCTTGTTCCGACTGACCATTGGTGGGGGTGGACGCACGGGGGTCATTGTCCGGGTCAAGTTCAATCTGTCTCCTCGTGACACGTACGAAAACGTCCAAGACGCTGTACAACCAGCCGACAGTTCGTTTCATTCATTCTTCACACTCTACGAAGATTTTACCGGAGGCTACGAACGGAATGAATTCATTGGATTTGCGACGAGGTTTCCTGGCGTTGCTCAATTGGTTCAGCAACAATTCACAGGCAAACGCCGAATGGCTGAGCCCTCTACGAATCCCGCCGTGATGCCGTCGAACTATGGTGATCTGAATTTCCTTTCCAAAGCAATTTTGAAACTAGACGGTTTCTTGGATTTTTTCTTGCCTCCATTTCTATACGAGATCTACGTCGGTGCCCTGCTGGCTTTTGTGCTCTTGGGAGAACAGCCAGATAGGGACGGAAAGGTCGGAGAGGACCTCGATTTGGCAACTTCTTTGACTGCAACAATTTACCTCAAACATCAGGAACTTGAGTTCTTCGTACCCAGAGATTTGATTGGAGAAGTAGGATCCTATTTGGATTCTCGCTTTTCGGTGGGAAAATACCCGTACATCTTCAAGCACGCTTTGTTTGTCCTGAGAGACGTGTACGGTTGCAATTCATTAACGGCAGCAAACGGTGTAATGTCCGATGGAACCTCGCCAGATGTCATTGCTGTGAATATTGACAGCTATCAACGTTCCCAATGGAAGAAATACAATACGGAGCTCAACGAAATGATGGCTGATTTGTCAGCCGAATTTCCACGCGTGATGCGAACCCATCCAGGCAAATACAACCCGCCACTATCACCCGATCCCGAAAGTTTATTTGTGAAGGATTTGATTGCAGATTTCGACCCGGAAGGTGTGTTTGCCCGAGATGCATACGATGCAACCTATCTCACATCACAGCCTAGAAAGACAGATTCACATTCATGGTGGGGATCGTTTTGGTTTTAAGTGAGGGCAGCATAGTTTGAGCTTCGAGTAGCAGGGAGCTGAACAAGCAAGTGGGTCTTGCAGCTTTGGCGGGAGATGGCAGCCCACGGGTTTCCTGGGTGAATGGCTGTCCGCAGATCTCCATTGTTCAAAACTGCCTAACGGTAGACCTGGCTCCTTGCACAAGAGCAAGCCGGTTGCGCACCATAAAGAGATGGGGCAACCCTTCTTTGATGCAGCCGTAGATTGTGCTAGCGTGATACGTAGGAAACAACTACCGGTACTAGGAGCTTCTACATTTTTGTAAAATGTCCGCGTTCACGAAAAAATGGAACCCAGCAACACTGACAGTCTCTTCTACCAAACGACCATGAAAGCACGGATGCAGTTCCTCTTTCTGTATTGTTGTATTATTGTTATGGTCACTACTGAGATGGAGCACTAGCTAGCATGCGCATCCAATGACAAAGAATCGTGATCGCGGGCATTGGCAGTCAGGTGAAATTGGACAGTCCAGAGGCATGCAGCCTGGTAAAGCATTGGCCTTACTCTGAGGAATGCAGCCTGGTAAAGCATCGGCCTTATTCTTTCTTGTTGCGACTGTCATTGCCAGCAGTTGATGCTTCTGAGAACTTGTTGTTGCTGTTGAGAATCACCGACTTGGTTTGCTGGAAACATTGTTTGGGAGTAATTTCTCCACGGCAGAGCTTGCAACATGGCTGATGTAGCGGCCAGTTTGCAAGCTGGCATTCTTTGGAACAGTACTCCACAGTAAGGCAGGCTTCACACCACATGGTGTTGAGTGACTCCTCCCTGCAGTAAGAGCACACACGTCTTTCAGGCACTTCCAGTGCTCTCTGTTTCTATTCTGCCAAGCAGTTGCACGGAACCTTCTTATTCAAATAGATGGCTGCACATATCACGAAAGCTTCCACAATGTTTGGCAAAGAACCATTTCACATGAGCCACCTCAGAGGTAAAACCTTCTCATCATCATCTGACATTGGAAAAGGTTTTGGAATGCGCTTTTCAATGTAAACTGCTGCATTGAAAAGTTTGCAAGCTTGATCAAACTCCTCTTTTCCAAAGAACGAATAATCTTGGTTATCATGGAGAAGAAGAATAGAGGCTGAAAGACCATACAGAAACTGGGATGTTTTGGGGTGTTCCACCAAAGGGTAATAGACTGGTGGTATGTTTTGAATGACTTGAAGTTGGTGCCTGTCTTTGCCGGAGAACAATACCATACTTCCAAGAAACCATCCAGCATGTTCCGGCCCACATCATGAATGTACCCTTTTGGCTTTCCATGGACGCACTGGGTGGATTTCTTGTTGCTGGGTGGCAGATTTGGTCTCGTTTGCTTTGTCACTTTTCGCTGACGAGGAGTTCTTGGCGTTGATCGCGGCCGTTGGTGGGTCTGTCATTGGTGGAGGAGCTTGCTTCTTGTCTTTCTTCTTCACTCCCTTCTTCTTGGCACTGCGGCGGTTCTTCATACTTACTTGTTGGCTTTGATCGGACAATAGAATAGAAATATTAGAGTTTGTCGAGAGTCCACAAGAGTAGGAAGAATAAGGACTCTTTCTCATTGTTGTCTTGGGTTTGCGGGACGTTGTCACAGCTCTCATCGCCTTGTCGCTTTGGTCGGTTAACCTTAACATTTTCAATTGGTTTAGGGCTTAGGCTTGGTCAGGTTACCGTATCCAACCGAGGTGAGAAAACGGCGAAAGTGAAGCCCAAACCTCTCGAAGCCCAACACACACCCCACACCCCACAACCCACACCCCACAACCCCAGCTAGGACAAGAGCAGACCAGGAAAAGAAAGAGAGCTACCTTGCTAGAGCTATTTGTAACCATGAACTTGGAGTTGTTGGATCCATTTCGTAAGCAGATTCCAGATCGTGTGGATGCCACACTGAGCATGCCTGCCTATTTCCACAACAAGACAGCTACTAGCCCCACGGATCCCTCTGCTTCTAGCACTACTACTAGTGCTAGCAAACAACAACCACTGGATGACGATGATGACGATTGGAAAGCAGCCTATCACGTGGCGTACAATCGCCGTGGAAGATTCATGGCGGTGGGATATGGGAGTGGTTTGGTGGGTGTCTATGACTGCATCAGTCGCAATCTGGCGGCGACCTATCATTTGGATGCTACCACTCCGACTCACGTGGGAGATTCTCATATCACACCCAAGAAGCAAAAGGAAACGCCTCATATCTTTGGCGTGACGAGTCTTTCCTGGTCTCGTCGGTCCAGGACGTTGCTGGCTGGTGCCATGGGAGATTCTCTGGTCCGACTCTACGACACTACACATCCCCACGGACCCGAAGAGTGCACTACCAATCTAGTGGCGGCAGGAGATCATTTTTTGAATTCCAACAACAATGCCAACAAGGATGATGATGACGATGAAAAAACAGCCAGTACCACCAAACCATCTCTCTCGGGAAGCCATCATGGCACCAATCCAAGAGCATCCCCGTCCAATCCTTTTGCTCTCTTGGGATCGGGAGATCGACCCAGTGTTCGACGATCTAGTTTTTCCAATCTAGAATTCCACCGCAACAATAGCACGTTAGCCGTCCCCATGGATACCACATCCTCCTCTCCCTATTTTCCACAATCTAGCACACATACACCCTTGCAACAAGATTATTCCAACAATCAGTACTATGCCAAGGAACCTAGAGTACTGGCCACCGAATCGGACCACTACAGCCCTATTGACCCCAACACCACCAACAACAACAATAACAATCCACCACCCGATGCCACCAAGTACTATCCTGGAATATTCTTTCGATTGCCACAACCCGTTGGGGGGTCCCTCGAAATCAATCCACGACATGTCACTGGTGGATTGGCCGTCTTGGCGGATGGATCCTTGATTCTCTTTTGGGTCCCTCTCTCGGCATTGTGGCAAGACGGCACGCCCAAAGTCCGACTGGCCAAGCTCGATACCAAACAAAACACCATCACCTGTGCATCCTTTGATCCACAAGGACAGCGTGTCTATGCATCGACCAAACAGGGAGCACTGCTGGGATTTCATGTCGAGCGACTCTTTCAACAACTCATGGCACCCACACTGCCATCGACCTCCTTGAAACCACTGCCCCCCAAGTTCACCATTCGCATTCCCGGTGGAGCGGCAGTCTGGCATTTGCTCCTGAGTCGCAATGGCCAATACATTGTGCTCAATTGTGCCGATGGTGCTCTGCGATTGTACACCACCAAGGAATGCTGGGAACAACAACAACAACAACAACAACAACAAGAAGAATCGTCGTTGGAGGAAGGTATCAAACCCACACAAGTTTTTTCCGATTTGATCAATAAACAAGTCAAATTTGCCTCCTGTGCACTATCGGGCGATGGCGAGTACATTGTCGGTGGAGCCAATGAAGTGCGCGATGATCGATACGAACTGTACGTTTGGACCACTGCCACGGGAGGCCTCGAGGAAAAATTGACCGGTGCCGCGGTACAACTCTACAGTGTGGCATGGCATCCGACACGATCCCTCTTGTCCGTGGCCACATCGGATGGACTCGTTGATGTGTGGGCGCCCAAGGTCAATTGGACTGCCTTTGCACCCGATTTCCAGGCATTGCCCATGAATGTCGAATACGTCGAACGAGAAGATGAATTTGATCTGGATGAACACGGCAATAAGTTTCCACAAGATAAGAATGGTGATCCCAGTGTGGTCCATGACGATGACGAAAGTGCCGTGGTGGATGTCGTGACGATTGAACCCGTGCCGGTGTTTGCGTCCGATTCCGAAGACGAACAAGATGTCTTTTACTTTGAAACCAAATTTGCCAATACCATTGGCAATCGAGGACGACATGCCAATGTGGATGCATAGCAGAGCTGCTACGGCACTTGCCGTACTTTGTTGGGGTTGCTAACTCAAGCATCTATCTGTGGGGATTCAAAATGTAGTTGTTGATGGGTACTGGCGAGACAAACAATCGAATCATGCCAATCTGAAAAGCTCAAGAGAAGGATGCTAACGTTGTTGCGCCCACACAACAGCAAACGTGCGTCTACTGCACGAAGCCCTAGAAGGTATTACACTAGAATTTCTTTCAACCCTTTAACAAAACTGTGACAATACATTTGAACCTGCATGGGCAACCATGGAAATTTCGTCCAGTCCAGTTTCAATTACCCACTCTTCAACTTGTGTGTGGTCAGACATCTTAGCCCATTCCAGTGTCTGTTCAATATCCCACGGGCAGCCATTAGCATGAGCCCACTTCAGTATTTCCAAGTGACCATTTCCAGCAGCATGAGAACATGTAAGCTGATCCCATGGGCATCCGTGCTCACGAGCCCATTGCAGAACTTCCAGGTGCCCACCAGCAGCAGCTTGGTTGCATGTTTCCTCTTCCCATGGGCAGCCATTAGCATGGGCGTATTTAAGGCATTCCAAAGAGCCACATCTAGCAGCCGCTGCACATGTGACCTCATCCCACGGGCAGCCATTTACATGGGCCCATTTTAGCACATGCAAGTGCCCGCCATGAGCAGCCCAGCGGCAAGTCTGCCCACCCCAAGGACAACCATGTTCATGGGCCCATTGCAACACCTCCAAATGCCCATATTGTGCAGCAAAAATGCATGTTATGTGATCCCATGGGCAGCCATGTTCATGCGCCCAGTTCAAAGTCTCAAGATTCCCACCTCTCGCAGCAGCATGGCATGTCGATTCATCCCAGGGGCAGCCATTGTGGCGAGCCCACTTCAAAATTTCAAGGTGTCCGCGGCCTGCAGCACGGGCACATACCGATTCATTCCACCGGCAGCCATTCTTGCGGGCCCATTCCACTACTTCCAAATGACCACCTTTAGCAGCTGCAGCACATGTTAATTCATTCCATGCAAAGCCATGTTCTCTAGCCCATTTCAAGATTCCCAGGTTCCCAGATTGTGCAGCTAGATTGCATGTCTGGTCAGACAATGGGCAGTCATTCTCATGAGCCCACTTCAATATTTCAAAATGCCCACCACTGACAGCTCTGAAAGTGCATCTGTCTGCATCCCATGGGCATCCATTTTCTCGGGCCCATTTCAGCACACCCAAATGCCCCTTGGAGGCAGCAGTAGAGCATGTTTGCTGATCCCAGGGGCAGCCGTGTTCATGGGCCCATTTCAACACATGCAAATGGCCACCTTGAGCAGCCCTTGCACATGTCTTTTCATCCCATGGACAACCGTTGGCTCTAGCCCAAATCAACACTTCCAAATTCCCACCAAGAGCAGCGTGAGCGCCTGTGTCACTACTCCATGGGCAGTCATTCTCTCTTGCCCATTTGAGCATCTCCAAATGTCCGTTCAATGCTGCTGTGTGGCAAGTAAACATATCCCATGGGAAACTCGTTTTGTGGTGTGCCCATTCAAGAACCTCTAGACTCCCTTGTTTCGCATTTGTTCTGCAAACGTCAGAAGTTGTTGGAGTTTTATCCACAAAATGGTCTTTTAGCCAGTATTCCGCACATGATACATTGAAGAAAGCGGCACTGTAGAAAGTGTCTTTTGCTGTTGCTGCACGGTTGTCGCCCCTGCGAGCCTTCGTTCCATGAGGGACAAACTGGACTACTGTGGGAGGATCCACCACTCTATCACAGTACTCTTGATACAGCTGTTGCCATTGCCGGTTCACGGCACCCACAAACGCATACTGACCCATGCCCAAAAAAGGTAGAACGTTCTGTAGCCAAACATTCTCGTCATCCAACAACAAGAGAATTGGAGGTGGCTGGTCCATTGTTGTTCAAGAATTGTCTGCTGTTATGATAATTTTGTGGCTGAAACTGTGTTCCGAAAACGAAACATTATGGCAAGAACGAAGTACTAGTACATCGTAGTTATCGGTGCCATCCTACGAAAATAGCAGACGCCCGCATAAGTACACCGTGGAACGATGAGCGTGGAAATCCCACTCAAGCAACCTGTCCATGGTAGATGAAAGGTTTTTTTAGAGTGGCACGGCACGGCACGGTAGGGTACCGGTACTAGCTAGTAGGGAAGTGATGCTCTCAAGCTCTCCAAGCGTTGGGATGACCGAGGCGCTCTTGATCTCTTTCGCTACCGTAGTCACCACTCCTTCTTTTATAGGGGGGTTTAGAGTAGGGAAATTATCTACGGAAGCCAGCCGGGGCCAGGCTTAAGCAAAGAATAGTCGAAATTCAGGACTAGGTTCTGTGGGATCAGGGGCAAGAAAGTGAGCACCATTACGGGGGCCAAATGGTTTGGCTTTCTTTGGTTTTGCTGCTGCTCTGATCACTCGGTTGTTCGGTTCTTGAATGGTGGCGATCGCTCACGATTGAGGAACCACACTTGGCCGTTGGAGTGGATGAAGAGGAAGCCATGGCGGCTCTCTTTTGAATGCCATAATGCTGGCACTGGTGGATGGTTCCACATAATTACAGAGTGATCAAAGTAAGTATTAATAGGACAAGCAGCCCTGCTCAATGAATTGCATAGTTTGATGAAACAGGAACGATTAGGATGACCATACGACCATCGTGTGACTAAAAACTAGAAAGAAGAGTCATACCGGGACGACAAGAGAGAGCTACAGCAGGTGCCAGCGGAGCAATTTGGAAAATTGCCTTTCTGTACCGTACATGTAGCCCCGTGAAGACGTATTGTTGTGGAACAGAGCAATGTGAGGCTAGCTGGGAACCGTATATTAGGTATGGCGCGAGCTTGCCTGGGGTCTTATGAGGCTAATTCATTGCAAGAGCAGCTGGGGGGATAGAAACGCAGTTGGAAGGTACTGCGGTGCTCCCTGCTCTGATTCAGCTAGGAGAAGCATTTGCCCAAGTCAGCTAGCTTCTCTTCCGTACCGGTGTGAGGTGGTGTGTCAGGATGTTGCAGATCCAACGGAATCTACTTTAGAAGGCAGTAGTCAGCAGCATCACGATCACAACACAGAGTGCAACAAGAGCACTCTACCATGGGATTGCCTGTGCCATCCATTGGCAGGCAGTCGGCAGCCACTTCAAATATGCCCTTTGTGGGGTCAGCCAAAGCACAGACAGATGACGGAATGGAACCAGAAAGGTCATTCCCATTCACAAAAAACAGACGTAATGCCATCAGAGCAGAAAGCTGTGCTGGGATAGCACCGTGGAAGTTGTTGTTGGAAATGTCAAAGCGTTCTAGCTTTGACAAAAGCTGCAGTCCAGTGCTGATTGTCCCAGTCAATCCACAGTTGGAGGCCTGAAACCAAAGTAAGTTGGTACATTCTGTAAAGAGTTCCTCTGGTAGGGAGCCTTCCATATTGGTCCAACTGATATCAAGGCTTGCGATATTGCCTTTCAGAACTCCAATTTCCGATGGAATGGTTCCACGTAAAGGCTTCCCTTGCAAATTGACTTGGAGATCACGACGTCCATGCAATGCTCCAACTTCAGCGAGTAGAGTTTCTGTAAACTACAAAGCAGGGAAAGTGTGAGCTGTCAATCACAGTGGAGGGTCTTGACTAAAGTTGAAGATCACTGAGGTTCTGTTCTGAGGAAAAGATTATCATACCTTATTGTCATTAAAAAGAAAGGTATGGATTCCTTTGCCAGCCTGAAAGAGCTCTGTAGGGATGGAGCTGGACAAGCTGTTTGAACCAAATCCAAGCCACGTCCCATCAAAGAGTCCGACTTCTGTGGGCACTGTCCCGTTTAGAGAATTGTTGAAAAAAAATATGGTGGAGGTTGTTTCCAAACAATTCTGACGGAATACTACCAGACAGTTCGCTGTTGTCTAGATTCAGTAAAGAAATGGAAAGGAAGCTACCATATATGCTCGGAACCGTTCCTGTCATTCGGTTCCCCATAATGTTTATTGATTCCAGTGCTGGAATATTTGCAAGTTCTGTGGGCAGAGGGCCATTCAATCCGTTGTCCCCTGATAATGAAAGCAAGCTAAGGATAAGTACAGGAATCGTGCATTTTGGTTCTTTTGTTGTGGTCCACAACAACAATAAATTAGAAAAGAACTCACTGAGGTCCAACCGAGTAATATTCTTCTCTCGATCACACAAAATTCCTGCCCATTGACATTCATGGACACCTTCAAGCCAAGGACTTCCGGATAAGCCACGACCCAGGGTATCTTGAATCCTATAGGATTCATTTGCAGCTGTAGATGGCCCACATGCAAGCCGGTCACTCTCCCGAGATGTTTGAAAGTATGTTAATGACAAGATAAACCTCTGGAGAAGATTGTTGGCATCTGCGTTGAGCTGCAGAGGATCCTCAAACACGATCCAATAAAGCGCCTTGAACTTTGGCTGGGTGGGTTCTGGCTGAATAGTTCATCTAAGAAGCGCATTTTTAGGTAGTGCTAGAATCGACATGCGTGCAGGTACCAAACGCCAACCAGCACGATCCCGATCCGTGACGTAATTTCTTCCAAGAATGCGTACAGTGATTGGAATCGGGATTGTGTGTTCCACATGGGCATGCAACGAAGGCCCGCCCGGCAAGACTGCCTGCTTCACGATTTGGGATCCACTTTTTGGACCGTCTTTTCGGGAAGGCAAACCCTCTCTTTGGTACCATAAACTATATCCCGATTGGTAAGCGGGCGGTTCCCCAGCACACAGAATCCAAATCACCAGCCAGTGCCAGCTAGTAGCAGCTAGTGTTGGCTAGGTACTTGCAGCCATGGCATCACCAAAGAAGGAGTTTGAGTGCCCTTACTGCAATAAAAAATTCCAATCTGTGGGATATCAGCAAACTCACATGCAACAGAAACGCGCTGCACGTCAACTTGATGCGGGGGGGAAAAAAAAAAAAAAAAAAAAAGGAAAAACCCTTGGTTTGGACTTGCTTCAATCCTATAGGTTGCACAGACAGACAAGATCAAGGGCCAGAGCTTATCAGCTTGGTCTCACTGACACCGGTGGGCCCGCAAAAGCACCAAGAAAGGCAGCAAGAGGACAAGATTCCAGGGAAGCCATTACACAAGGATTGCAGGACGAGGATGCCCATGCCAGGCCCTCACTCCAAAGGTTGTGGTGGTTCCAAAGAAGACGCAGACCATCGGAAACCTGCAACAAATCCTCGAATCGGCAACAAAAAGGGCGCCGATAGGGAAGGAAATGGGGAGCTAGATGAGGATGGTGATTTCCATACAAACATTGATCGTTTCAACACGGATTCGGATAGTGAGCCTACCAGTGAGGACTGTGAGCTCAGTTTGGAAGTGTCAGTTGCCACATTGCAGGGTGACAACAAAGAGGACATGGATGATAACGGCCCCCCAGACGAAAGCAACATAAACGCATTCAGAGCTTACTGTGTCAAGGCAAAGAAATTACCCGAGCTAACAGATTCGGAGAAGCGAGGGTTCAAACTAATGGATATCCTCCGTAGGAAAAGGACAACTCTGGATACCTATTATGATGTACTTTCTTGGCATTTGGAGGAAACTGGGTCGCTAATGGACAACGAAAAGCTAGGAAAGAATCCAGACTACCTCAGCAGGAAAAAACTGCCCCGAATTCTTAAGGAAAGATACAACATGAGAGACAAGTTACATTTTGAAAAGGGAGATGGTCCTTCCTCATTGCAATTCCCGGATCAAATTCATTTGCTTCAGTTCTCGGAATTGTGTGGAGCCATTGCTTACCGATCCACGCCTCACAGATGAGGATTTCTGCTTTTTTAATGATGATCCGATGGCTCCACCACCTGAAAAGGCGACTTATGTGGGTGAGTTGAACAAGGGCGAGGCATACCGAAAAGCCTATAATGAATACGTGGATGACCCACAGGATGAGATAGGCATATATCCTTTTTACATCTTTCGGGGGTGGGGTCCATTTCTACATTGATGGGGCAGGTACGGGCCAGTTTGACAACCTTTCCATCACCCGGCC